ATATATACATATACATATACTTATACATATAAATATATACCAACAGCCACGTCAACGACAAGCACCATAACCAAGCGTCCCCTCTCACCTCGTCATCGGGTGCTACAATACCCCACCGGATGGCCCACACAGGTAGCAGTTGACTTGCACCGCTGAAAACGAGCGCCTTCTGCACAGACCACAGAGCACTGGCAGTCGGACGCTGTCTGATACTGAATGCAATACCCTCTACGGGTAGATATCTGGGTTGCTTGGGAGGCTCCTGAGGCGGTGAGAGACTATTATTATTATATCGTATATGAAAGAGATATTGTAATGTATGTCATGCGTAATATTGTTATAACGTATATGTGAGTAATAATATAATATAACGTATATGAGAGTAATATTATAACGTATATGAGAGTATCATTACAACGTATACGAGAATATTACTATAACGTATAAGAGAGTATTGTTACAACGTAGAATTGGATATTGTTATAACGTATACGCGAATATTATTATAACGTATATGAGAGTATTATTATAACGTATATGAGGATATCATTACAACGTCTATGAGTGTATTATTATATTGTATATGAGAGTATTGTTACAACGTAGAAGAAGATATTGTTATATCGTATTTGTGGGTATTATTTTAACGTATATGAGAGTATCATTACAACGTGTTATGAGAGTATTATTATAGCGTATATGGGAGTACTATTGCAACGTATATGAGAGTATTAATATAACGCAAATGAGAGTATTGTTACAACGTATATGAAAGTATTGTTATGACGTAAATGAAAGTTCGGAACGATAAAGTACGGGAGTATCATAAGACGGCAGGGAAGGTGTGTTCGAATTCTGGTGTATAAATGTAGCATATATTGAACGCAGATCGTGCAGGATGGGTATATATGTGTGTATAAAAGATCTATTTTTATATACGACTGTGGGATGGATCAAATTGGTCAGCGTATTGTATGCGTGACGGTATATATGGAATATACAGAATATGTATATATATATATATATATATAGTATTTATATATACTATATATATACTACACACACAACACACTACACACACACAC